GCGCACCACCAAGGAGGTGTCATCTCAAGGCCAGGCCAAGCTTCAGAAGAGACCGTGCAGGCAGCACCACAGAAACAATTATGATGTTTTAATCTGCTCGGTAAACGGAGGTTGTTATACGCACACGCGTTCAAGGGTGTTGTTCTGTTAAAGTTTAATCTCTTCTTAAACTCATTCTCCAATCATTAACCCAACAGGGCTGTTCAAAGACTCTCTCTGCTGTGGCAAACACCTAAGCTGCCATCATGAGCACATGGACACCTTAGTTCATACCCACCTCTACCCAGATGCACCTGGGCGCGCACAAGCCTAGAGCAGAAGAATACTGACTATTTCAAGCAAGAACCAGGGAAAAAAAAGATTTATTTCCTTTATAAATGCTGTGCCTTGAAGTCTGGGTATAGAGCTTGATCCATTTACTCAAGGGTGCCACTTTTTTCGTGCTGCGGTTGTGCTGCCCTTGAGCCATCTGCCGCTTAGTGTTTGGGAATCCTAAAACACCAGCACGCTGCGAATACTGCAATGCAAAAGGACAGCTTAGAGACTGCAGAAAAGCCCCTGTACCAGTATCAGCGAGGTGCTGCTCTTCCCTCTGAAAATCTAGGATATTACTGCTTCCTGCGATTTCCACAATACCCAAGGGTGCATGAGAGCTACGTTGTCACTTTTCAAATACAGGGTGAAACTAAATTTCTCCTTTAAAAGGCCCTGAATTTCCAGCTAAGCTACTCAGTGTCTTTACAACTAACTAGCCCGGGACTCTGCTGCGTAACTCACAGCAGCAGTGCTGAGGTGCTTTTGCAGTAAACACCATCTATTTCCATGTTCCTGCACCACATCCTCAAACGTTTCTTGGGGCGTGATGTACATCGTGTGCATCACCCAACACACGTGCAAATTTTCACAGGCTCCTCTCGTTCCCTCCTCTTTTCCAGCAGGCACAGGATGGCTGTGTTGGGTAGGCTTTTTCCCCTCTGGTATCTCCAAGGTATCACTCAAACTCAAAGAAAACAGAGACAATCTGAAAATTGTCATGGAGGGAAAAGCAGGGATCCTGCGTTCAGAAAAAAACACCTGCGGACCACACGCTACGTGGAATAATACACAAGGGCACTGTGGGCTGCTTTCTTCACTCTCTGACTTTACGTTTTGGGCTACTGTGCATCCCTCCGAGTTATCTATACGGAACCTTTAAAAATAACAAACTTTACCTCTTCCCTTTCCGCAGCAGATCAAATCCCTCATTGATTTTATTGAAAGGCAGCGTGTGGGTTATTAATGGATCCAGAACAAACTTTTTCTCCAAGTAGTCAGCAACCAGTTTAGGGACTGCATCTTTACTTTTCCAGCCTAAAATAAAAAAGAAAAAATCCAGAGAATAGGTAACCAAAAAAAA